GGAGGGACACAGTGCACTTCTCCTTAGGAGAGTCACAGCAAACACACATACTCACGAATGATTAAAGGATTCTGGAACGACTTGCAACACCCAACTTTGAGATTCTTGGAAAAGATTACCGATTTATCCTTTTCGAGTTTAATATCATACACCTATATGTCCTTTATCAAAAAAACTTCCAGGGGGCAATACAAACAACGGCTTTCCACCAATAAAGGCCCAAACAGAAAGTCTGGCGTGTTCGTTGATGAATTTCGACCTGATCACTGCTTCTTTTTTTATCAACCATTGACACACATTAATGAGTTGAAAAGGTACACTGACTGTTTTGGCACGCAATCAAAGCCAGATAAGCACCTGGGTGCGACTGCCTTGATTGCAACAGTAAACTGCGCTGTAAAATCCTGTAATATTTACCGCAGTGCGCCCGCCATGTGCCATTACTAGGCCACCCTTGCCTTGCTGCGATCTGCAGCAGCAGCGGGTCGGCGATCCTGTGTGCGAATAAGAAGAGGAGAAATGTCGGGCAGTAACCGAACGATAAAATGGACTCTGCTGATGACTCTGCTCGTGTCCTGCACCCTCCTTCCCCCTCCGCCTCCCCTTCGGTGTCCAGCCTATTCTGTCTCCCACCCTTTCTTGTCCTTTCAGTAGCACTGTTATAGCCTACAGTAGTAAACAGCCCTGCTCTGAACAGCTAGTGTTAATTTAAGCCTGCATGAGGAGGATCTTTTTTATGTTTTTTTGTGCCAGATACCACCCCTGCTGTCTTTCTCTCTCCCCCTGTCTCATGCACACCTACCAACCTCTGCATCAGCCTGCTGAAGGTTATTCACACCCGTCCTGTTTCCACCCGACTTCCCTCCCTTCCCTATGTGGCCAAAGTGCTGTAATGCCCCTTAGCTGTTTGCAACAGATTCCCCCATGGCAAAAAAACAACTTCCTCTCTTTTGGACGCCATTCCCCTCCCCTCCAGTCTTCTCTTTCCCAAAAGAAACCCAGAACTCAACACAGGCAAATTTTTTCCCCTCCTCTCTCCCCAAAGTAGCAGCCGCACAAAAGAGAGGGGAAAAAGGGAAAACTGTCCAAAGAAACGACAGATCTCACATCATGGAGCACAGCTAGCTGGTCTTGATTTCAATCTTTCTTTTGTTGCTCACGCACAGTCTAAAGGGAAATTGCGAACATCGACACAAATAAAGGTGGGAAAGCCTCCTTATACACGTGTAACCATTTTCTCATATGTGCGTTTTTCACTGCGGAGAAGAAGAAGACGAAGACTAGAGCGAGTATGAAGCCATTGAACAGCAAACTAATATGGCCACTTGGTTAGTTGCCGCCTCTACTACCTCCTCACTCTCAGTCCTGGAGGCTGAAAGAAAAGGCGTTACGCTGCTGTGTGTGTTTCTACCTCAGAGGACAGACCCAGAAAGAGAGAGCGAGAGCGAGAGAGAGACAGAGAGGGAGAGACAGAGAGTGTGTGCACTTGTCTTGCCTAACTCTCCTCAGCTTTCCACAGTCTCAAATGAAACTCAGATTCCCTGTGTTCTCTGTCCTCCTGCACCATCCGCATATCGAAAACACACGATGCACCAACGCGAAAACGCCCAATCTCGAAAAATTAGCACGAGTGAGACCGAAATCAGGTTAATACAGGGGTTCAACGTGAGTGATTTCAGTGCTCTTTATCAAGGTATGAATTCACTCGTGTCCCTTGATGAGAAAAACGGATCGAGCACCAAACAGTCATCAGATTGAATCCTGTGACGTCACATCTCGCCACGTCTTTGAACCAATTGCAGTCGCTCCAAGTATAAAACGCCACTACGACTGCATGCTGAATATAAATCAAACAATAGTGTAAACAAATGCATGTTTCATCAGCAATCTGAAGAGTCCCTTAGCCCTCCTCGTCTATCTAAGACACTGTTTCTGCTAGTCAGTTGTTTACCATCTAACATGTGGCAGGAATTCAAAAAACTTGGCAGAGCCTGTTGCACCGTGCGTCGTGGAGAGTTCACTTGAGGATACGACTCTGGTTTTGGCTCAGCTGCCAACTTCTGACACTGTAGCCCTCTGCGCGGCCTCGCCCCTGCAGGAGCGGCCTGCGTAATGCTGCCATTGATGAAACTCCAATATTAACAACCTCATTTATGACACCTCCAAGAGTCCACAACCACAATTTTTTCATCAAGCCCCTTCACCTCCTCCAGTTATATTCAAGCGGTGCTCTGCCCTACCACACATTTATTGTCAGTGTAAAAGCATATTGCATTGGAGACATAAGATAAGCATGGAAGTCATATTTTAAAGCATATATGAGCTAAAGTACAGTAGGTGAAGAAAAAGAAAAGCTGCAGCAAAGTGATTAGGTTACACCAAATCTTTCAAATCTGCAAAAATCAAAAAGGTGCAAATAAGGGAAATTACAAAACACTATTAAATAAAGCGACCGCAGTAAATGTGTGATGCACAATTCATGTTGCACAGTGGCAACATGGCAGTGAATGTCTCACAGTCAGAGTGAGTTATAGTTCACTCATGAGCTCAGACAAAGGAGTTGTTGATTCTGTGGTCTTATCAGACCCCCGGCACCTTCACATCCTTATGAATCATCGAGAGAATCCACTGTGACAAATACGACCAATCAACATACATGCGTTAAATTTATAGCGCGCACACACACTGCTTGGTGCTGTACTGCCCTGGGACTAGCAACACACGCAGAACTTGAGAATAATATGAGCCGCAATATTTTTAATACTCATTGGCAAAAATTTTACAGTACGAACACAGACAAAAATAATTGTAGTTAAATATCAAATTATTCGTTTTTTATGGGAAGAACAAATTAGCTTACTTTCTCTTAGAGGAAATTTATCATTAAACCAGCAAAAAAAATTAAAAAAATGTAATATTTGTAATCAATATCTGCACCAAAATGCTATTTCTTTAATACATTACTATAACTTTTAGTCAGCAGTAAATAAAATGCAGTTAAATAAGTAGAACCACCTGGGACTGCCAGTAAAGTAAGATGTGAGCCTCACTTATTGCATTAAAAATGCCAAAGTTCGAATCTTATTTACAAGCTTGAGACCTTGTACTGAATGGTAATAACACACACATATAAGCCCTGTTGTATTTACACCCAATAAGTTACAGCCATCTATACGTTCACACTCCGGCGAACACACACACGCTTCCTCCTCTCTTCGGTGACCAGTGCGGTGCGCCGGCTCGATCTACAAGGTGGTCTGCTGAGGGGCCCCTCGGCAGCACGCGCCTCGACAACTTCTCTATTACAGCCGTGACCCCTGAGGTCAGTCTCTGAAGGGTTCTGAACAAAGGCCACGACCCCGGGGTCAGAAGTGTAACGCTGGGGGCAGGCCGGGGCCCCCACGGCAAAGGGAGCGTGCTGTTTGCTTTGAAAGGTAAGGATCACTAACACAGAGGCCTAATAAGGATTAAGGGGCCATCCCCTTTGGGATGTCACTCTGGGGCCTCATACATCAGTCTCTATTAACCTCCATGACCCCCGGCGGCCATTATGGGGCTACGGGTCACAGACGTTCACACTGCGGAGCTGTAAAACCTAACGTCGCATGCAACCTCTAACACGAGTGTTGCTGATTACATGGACAAATTGTTGTAAGAGGTAAACTGCTTGTCAAATAGGACACAGTGCTCCTATAGAGGAGTTCTGCCTGTCCCAGCAGCTTTCATCTTGTTGTAGAAGATGTCAGATTTCAGTTTTTTAGGAAGGTACTGTAAGGTAAAAAGCAGAGTTATTAGCTATCAGGTTAGCTCACTCAGTAATAAAACAAATACCTGGTGTGTCTTAGAGAAAACAATTAAATGTACATCTGAAAATCATGTGAAGGCAACAGAATTTCTTTTTTTTTTTCACTTTGATTAAGCACCAGAGACAGTTCGGAAACAGTTCGATAAAAGCAGGTGAGCAAGAACCGAGACACAGAATCACAAAATG